TTACAGTAAATTACTCAATTTACAGACAAAATGTCCTTTTCAAACTTTGTAAATTGATTTTACTAGATATTTACAATGTTTGATCGAGCAAAGTTTACAAGATATTTACAGAATGTACATAAAATTTACAAACTTTGTAAAAGGAAAATTTGTCTGTAAATTGAATTTACAGTATATTTACATATTAYATACAAAAACTGTAAACAAATCAACTTCTCCAGAGYTTTAGRTGGGATAGTCGTGCTCAGCTTCAAGCTGTTCCTACCTGTCTTGTCGCGGTAATAAACTGCAGAGGTTTTGGCTGAGMCGTGAAGGCARCATTGTGAWAGGTCCAMCAACACCGCCACCACCACTGGGTTGTTGTGGATAWAGTGAAGAGCCTTGCATAGCGGCTGCTTGATCGATGCAAGAATCTTTACGTATGAAGTAACTGACATCAGATACATGKACGCCAATCGAGAAGCTACCTCCTTTTTCTTTGACGACACTAATGGCGTCATCTAGCTCCAGTCCAGGTGAGTCACCACAGTCCATGGTGAAKGCGTTGTTATAGCGATAGGCACGYGACAGCCAYTCCCTTTCWGGAACTTGGAACGAATCAGGAAAGGTGTTTCTGACTTCAYTGATGACTTCGTCGGGTTGGTTCACCCTGATGCCATGCTCTGCAGCCAGCAGAGGTAAAATAGAGCTTATGTCATTGGCTTGTTTAAGGAACTTTCTTACTATTCCCAAAGGAAGGCGATAGTTGGTTCCCCATTCAAGCACAGTAACYAGAAACAGACATCCTTTAGCTTGATGAGAMGGCACCAGAGCTCTGCACTTAGCTTCGCCATCTTTGAATGAGAACACAGACACMCCTTTCATGTCTCGATGCTCCCTGCTTTGCATTACAAAAATGTTTGGATTGTTTTTATCCACAGGGATCATTACATTAGAGTCTTGATCGTCCACGGTACATACAAACTCTCTTGGGTTATCCCTCTTAAGGATATACACCACCCTGCCAGATGGTCGGCTGGATTTCTTGTCCTTTACTTCAACTGCAACGATGTCTCCATGGAAAGCGCGATTCATTTCAACCCGAGTTGAAATAGTTATATCTTGGATAGGAAGATCYAYGGTGCTTCTCGTGTCACCCAAACTGCTCCCCATCAACATAGCCTTGATATCAGARGGGACGATCTTCCCAACAGCAGTATTGACACCAGTTATTTCCAGAGTACAGAGTATTAACTCATTCTTCAAAAGTTTATCAAACACRCGACCTTCACTCTCATACTCTTGGTGCACGGCATTCCCGATGTATGTGGCATTCCTGCGTGGTTTCAAAGACCAATTGGATTCCAAGTGCTCAGATCCCATACGGAAATCTTCAGCCGAGATGTTTTGGTAGGACTGGGCTGAATCACTCCGTTGAAAAAACGCCTCGGCAAAGGATTCGAACGCTTTGATATACTCCTTCACAAGTGYGTCCTCTCGGCGAGCGAGGAACCACTCTTCCGTATCTGAATCTTCAAAGTCTTCACTGTGTGTACTTTCGTCCAAGGAACCCTGTGCCAACAACTGCTTGATCTCTTCATCGGATTCTAAACTCAACCTTTTCAATTGAGATTCCAACATTTTCTCTGAGAAGAATTCATTAGTTTGATTCATAGCAGCCGACACTGAGRTTGTGCAGTCGACGCCYAACTGTTTGGCGGCCACATCGTGCAATGACAGACGGTTAGAGTTGAGCTGTTTCTCGTTTTTCATCATTTGTATCTGCTTCACAAAGTTTTCTGATAGTTCTTTGGGAAATTTYCTATCAGTAGAAAGCTCTACGAGGAACTTTTCTTCTTCCGACAGCATCTGTTGTCTACAGTGAATATTGTACATGATTRCTTGGACAATATACTCGACGGAGTATCCCGATGGAGTAACGATACCGTTGACCGGAGAAAAAGTCTGAGAARTGCGACGTTCGTCTTTGGGTGGAGYATATGGYKGATTACTAACTCTTCCAACWCCAGATAAAGGCGAATTCATTCCTCTGATRGTTGGCGAATTCCCCCCAACTGAKGGAGAATCRCTACCACTCCTTGACAACGGACTATCAGTGCGAACTGAAGAAGCTTGTGAAGCCGGCAATRCGTGATTATTMAGACTCCAAGGKGYGGCCATATAAGGTGGCGGTGGCCGTTGCCATGCTGGTTGATGTGGAGCTGTAGTATATCCAAGAGGAGCTTGCCCCACGAATCGAACTTGMCCTCCTAATTGATTGACAGGTGGTGCAATGACTGTTCCTGATGTGAACACGGGTGTTGTGAATTGAACACCCGGTGCTGTTGGTATTACAGGAACACTTTGCCCTTGAAWTATCTGCACACGAACAATAAAATTAGATTAACAAATAGCTAACGAACACTCAAACAAATAGACCCCAGGCAAGTTTTTAAGAAATCATATTTTAAGAGAATGCTGCGAGAGGAGACTATAAGATTGTATGCAAATGGATATTTTGCTGAGTTCTTCAATTAATTTTTACCTGGTTAGTAGGATACACTAGCCGCCCACTAGGGTCTACCATAGGCTGCATGGGCCTGTAATTGAAMGCTGGCTGTAGCAGCTGATTGACTAATCCAGGCCTTGGGGCCATGGTCTGAAACACCGAGTTGCTTGGCGCCATGGAAATAGCTGCTGGACCTGAAAATGCTGGACCCTGGACCTTTGTACCAGGAGCAGACGATTTTGGTGCTAATAGTCCTGGACCTGTAGGACCAGGAATTGCGGGAACTGGAGCCTGGGGACTTGGAAAAGTGGAATTGTGGACAGAATCAGGAAAAGATAAGACTCTGAAGTTTGGGCTTTGAGTTAGACCTGGGAGCGAAGGAACCTGGACCTTTGGACCTGGGAAAGAAGAGCCTGGCAACGGACGTCCTGGAGATGTAGGACCAGGAACGGATGGAGYTGGAACTTTTGGACTTGGAAAAGTGGATTTAGGAACAGAATCAGGAAAAGATGGCGGCCTTACGTTTGGACTTTGAGCAGATGAATGTGGAGCTGCTGCAACTGGGGCTTTTTCTGGTGTTGCTGCCGTAGCTGTCAGGTATGGTTGGGCAGATGGCATTGACTCAATGTTTTCAGCGTGTGTTTTGTTTGAGTCATTTGTTTCATTATCTATGTCATTCTGGTTTGGTGCCTTGGTGTATTCAATGATCTTATCGAATGACAGACGATAGTTGAATGTTCCATTCTCGTTACACCTTTTAATATAGAAAAATATAGTACATGTGTTGAGCAATATAACTCACTGTTAATACTTGGAACAATCAATCAATCCAATCACTTTTTAAATCAATCAATCAATAATCAGTCAATCATACAAKCAATGAAAACAAAACGGAACATTGTCCTGTAACTATTGTGGAACAATGATAAACTTGACTYAAAAACACAATGAAAATAAATAGTCATTGTTTAGGGCCATGTTTAAACAATGGTCAAACGGAAAACATTACGAGTTTTTATTTATGCTTAAAAAATTTAAACAAATCGTAATATAAGCAAAAACGTGCTCATTATTATCCCTTTATGCTCAATAAATGGAGACATTGTAAGATTCGACCTTAAAACCGACGACGGATGGAAACAGATTACGGATGTACGTTTGACTGACATATGAAGAATCTTAAACACGACCGTATTGAATGCCTGTTGACCTTGGCCCTAGTGTAGACCCACGGCAATAAGGTGCCTTTGGTACTCACTTGCTTAGGATTGTCTTCCAACACACTTTACAGTCGCCAGCCCCACATAATGCATTGGGGTCACCAACGAACACCAGTTGATACTTGGCGCGCGTTACGGCTGTGTTTAGAAGCCTGGGATCAGACAGGAAGCCCATGTCTTGGCGGTCTAGTGTCTCCACAGTCATTGAAAAGGTTGTATGTACGGTACTTATGAATATAGCATCGAACTCCAACCCTGGTAAACAAAAGGTGTGAATTAAGTTTTACTCACTTCACTAAAGAGAAGTGCTCGTCCAGTCCTAGGATTTTGGGTCAGGTCATCAAGAGTCGATCGGTATGAATATCGTGATTGGTTGAGAAAACAATAGATACTCTTTCAAACAATAGAAAATGAAAGTCTCGACGGCTTCTTCAAAAAACKTAGGGTCTAAACGSCCCTGTGCTCGACYACTGCATCAGTTAAYTAAATCTAAAAAATGCAGAGCACACAACAGGTCATTTCATACATAAAAAGGTTGCTTTGGTTAGTTTCAACAGTAAAATCATTGCGCTATTCGTGCTTGCGGTAGATTACTTGGTTCGCTCGTATTTATCAAATACGAATAATCTTTTTTATATAATTTGAGCCAGCAATGGCCTTGTGCTTCATTYTTACCTTGCACATTATTCACGCCCTCCACCCTTACTTGTCCTAAACTCTTTTTACGAAGAAGCTGGCGGATTTCTCGAACCTGAAAAAAATGAATGTTACAAGACTGCGTTATTAATGGGGGTGTTGTGTTATATGCACGGGATTTACGCAATAAAGTGGTTATAAATGGTCGTGGGACWATTATATTCGTTCTTGCTCAGTTTTTCAGCCGAAAAGGAACTCTAAAACGATCCCCGTAAGATTTTGCGTAGGTCGCGGCACTGCACCACCCTAAGCCAAGCTSTTCTTAGGCCGCTGACTAAAAATGTAATTCTATAATTTAATTCAAATGAGATTGAATGGGAGTATTGCTAGACTCCTCGCAGCCGTTTTCCGGTGTCGTCTCCTTAATCCTTGGGGGAGGATTAAGGAGACGACACCGGAAAACGGCTGCGAGGAGTCTAGAGTATTGCTGAATCATTCCCGTAATGATGTTTTGGCGAAGTTCATTCTGGTATAGATAAAGTATCAAGATTGCAGACATCTCCCATCATCTACGAAGGACGAAGTTTTCTTTGCGATTATAACGTTATCCTTAGATGAGAAAGCTGGAAGAGAACATTTAATAAGATGTCTACACATTAAAGTGTTCTCCAAAGCATTTTGAAAATGATCAACATTACTTTTGCAAAAAAACTTCGTCCTTCATCACGTTCCTTCATATTTTTTTTATAAAACATCCGCCATCTTGACACATTTATCAATTCCAAGATGCACTTCGCAAGGGTGAAACGATCATTGTTGAACGACGAGGAAAAATGCTTGTAAAAATGACATTTTCATTGCTCAAGAAAATCTGCCGTCAAATAAAACAGCGGTTATTCACGTTTCCCTGCGCCATTTTAAAAGGTAGCCGTGCTTTTGCATTAAAGCGAGACGACTGTTGAGCGTTGAGCGTGCAATGATTGAAACCTTCTTTCACACCTACAGACAATTATTCACAAGCACCTATCATTGCACGCTCAACGGTTAATCGATGTAAGGGCACGGCTACCTTTAAGGTTGGTGTAGGGAACCGTCAAGTTTAAAAATGGAATATTCTCAACTGTCTTAGTAGATCACCTGTGCTGTGTATGGAGCCAACACACAAATACTCTCCTCAACAGAACCATCATCCTCCGCATCAACTAGCCACTCGTTAACCAACCATTCGACCCTTTCGCTAATTTCCGCTGCCTCGGCCATATTATAGTAGGARGGTATGTCAGGTGCTCTCGCCTCTTTGCCGAGGACGCCGTAGAAGTGGACTGGGTAAATGGACGATGGGGGTCTGGTCTTGTGCGMAACCAAGGTACCTTCGTAAAAGAGTTTAGAGGGAATGTCGACGATTTCTTGATAAGCACGGTAGTTTTCTAGAAGAAGTAGCTTGCAGCTTGAAGTAGAGGGATAATATTCATACAAACGTACGAGAAGTGAACGGTCTAAAGCCAAACGGCGTGCTACAGGCGAGTCTACAATTGCACCAAGCTGAAAMAAAATAGAGAAATATATATTAGGTTTTGTGTGGGACAGTTTTCGGGACAGGGAGCCCACCACAGAGAACAGCTGAGAAGATACTACGCGCAAAAGCAACGTCAAATGCTTAAAGTCCGAAACGTCAGTAAGTTATTTCACATACTTTTTTACGGTGTTAAATTTATCTTTTTACATATTAACTGTTTCTTTAGAAACACCGACGCAGCTCACACTAGTTTACCGCTAGTTCCCACCACCTTTCAACATTTAATAGACAGGCTTATAGCCTTAATATAAATCGAAAATGAAACTTTGCACATGGTTCGTTCTACATTTTCACTACAACATGTTTTCCAGGAGTTTTAGCGATTTTTCTCATATTCAAGGGCTTTTCAAGCGCCCTTGAAAACGACTGATTTTCCTTAAATTCCAAGACTTTTCAAGGATTTCAAGGAGTAGTACGAACCCTGTTTGTAGGGTTTTGCAATGAAGACATTGTTTCGCTCTTTCTTTCCTTTATTTTCTTTTTTTTTATTTGAAAGGTTTCTGCGCATGAGAGGCCGCTGTCAACTAAAACAGCGGGAAAAAGTCGTGGCCTTTATTTACCTGCAAATGATCTCCAGCCAGGACCACCCTTGTTGAAGGAAKACAAAGACACAAAGGAATAATGGTTTCAGCCTCCATTGCTTGTGCCGCTTCATCAATAAACACGTGACTAAAGTACCCAGGGGGGAGGGGT